GAAATAACATTCGCGTTGTCATGGGACGTTTGAATCAAACCAGAATCACATATAAAGGGAGAGGGGCAGCAGAGGAGTATGGCCCGATCAAAGAGATTTAATGTGGCGAAATCTTCTGGTGACTGCACTGTTTTGGTATGGAGGCAATGCCATCCACCTCACTGTCTCCGGCAGAGGCGGAAACAAAACTAGTGATCTTCTCTATGGGATCATGTATGAGGTTGTACTCTACAATTCAGCTCTACAATGCAAACTAAACCATTCCGACAGGACATCAACCACTCTGGGGACGGCGGGCTATACGCAGAATTGATCCGTAACAGAGCATTCCAAGGATCGGCAACCCCGACACTCGAGGCATACCGAGCCATCGGTGGAGTGAGTCTCTATATTGACACGAATAATTCTCTGTCTACTGCCCTTCCCAATGTCCTTCGAGTCGATGTCCCAGCCGGAGCTACAGGTTAGCATGGTCTTGAAGCCTTTAGTTACATTTGTCTCGACTTCTGATGCGTATCTTTAGGCGAGGTTGGATTCTTGAACGAAGGTTTCTGGGGAATCAACGTCGAGCCACAAGTATACGACGCGTCCTTCTATACCAAAGGATTCAAAGGTCCCTTCAATGTCTCACTAAGGTCCAATGTGACTGGAAAATCCTTTGTTACCCAACCAGTTTCGTCGTCCAATCCGTCAAAATGGACCCAGGTTAGCACAAAGCTGGTCCCGACTCGTCCTGCTCCGGATACACACAACGTTTTTGCCGTCACATTCGATGCCAAAAAGGTTGCAGGAAAGTCTGTGTTCTTCAACCTGATCAGTCTCTTCCCTCCCACCCACAATAACCGGTAAGCCCGAATGTAATCGTGCATCATTCTATATTGGCTGACTTTACTCGCCCAGTAAAAATGGCTTGCGTCCGGAACTCATGAAAGCTTTGGGCGATATGAAAGGTTCATTCCTTCGGTTTCCTGGTGGAAACAACCTGTAAGGCCCTTTTATTGCTGTCACTTATGCGGCTAAGTGGAATATGATTAGGGAAGGGAACCATATTCAAGAGCGTTGGAAATGGAACGAGACTATTGGCCCTTTGATCGACCGCCCAGGTCGTCCTGGTACGCGTTCTCTACTACCCGCTACTATCGGAACGAGAAGCTAATCAATCTATAAAGGTGCTTGGGGATATGCAAATACGGATGGATTGGGGCTTTTGGAATATTGTCTCTGGGCGGAAGATTTGGGACTCGAATTGATTCTTGGAGTCTATTCTGGGCTATCTCTCTCCGGGACCGATATTGTGCCGGAGAACCAACTTGCGCCGTTCATTCAAGAGGCATTAGATGAGATAGAAGTAAGTCGGACATAGCTGCATCTCTTGGTACTGTTCCTCACGCTCGGTCTCATTTAGTATGTGAGGGGCGATGCGACAACCAAATACGGAAAACTACGAGCACAACACGGGCACCCCAGACCTTTCAAGCTAAAGTTTGTGGAGGTCGGTAATGAGGACTGGCTCTCGAATGGTCTAGAAAGGTGAGCATTCTCTATGTAGTCAACCTTGGAAGTCTTGGCCTGACCATCTCAGCTACAATCAATATCGTCTCAAAGCTTACAACGATGCTATCAAAGCCAAATATCCCGATATCACGATTATAGCTAGTACTGAGCAGGCCACTGCACGGTCCGAAGGCATGGTAAGCTACTGTTACGAGCTAGAGTGGAGTGGGATATACAAACTGATTCATCGGTAGTGGATTGATACTCATTTATACCTGAGGCCAGATGGGTTCTACCGTCGTTTCAATTGGTTCGACAACTGGGATCGTCGTTACCCAGTCTTTGTTGGAGAATATGCAGCTGTCCAGCCCAATGATCCCGTCGACCGGTCAGTGGCAGATAGAACAGTCTAGGGCCACCTCTTACTTGTCTTTAGAACCAAAGAGGATGCGGAATGGACTAGTGGTGCTCCACGCTTTGCTTTCCCTTCGCTCATAGCTGCCGTTGGAGAAGCCGTGTTCACGATTGGAATGGAAAGGAACGCGGATCTCGTAAAACTCATCGCGTAAGCTACTGACTAGATCAAGTTCATACTTGCTCATAATTTTACCATAGGTACGCACCAGTGATGCAAAATGTCGATAGTTGGCAATGGGTCGTAAGTTGTGAATACTGCTGTCCACTTGATAGATGCTCAAACATTAAAATAGCCCGATCTTATCTCTTTCAACGCCAATCCTAAGGATACTGTTCGCTCCTATTCCTACTTTATGCAACAGGTAGCTCTTCAGCATATCTATATGGTCCTCAGGGCTAACCAATATCCTAGCTATTTTCTCTCAACCGAGGGACCAAAGTTCTTCCAGTGACAAGTACGAATGGCACTTTTGACCCAGGTACTTACCCTCTTGTGCTTTCCAAAACATTCTAATGCCATTTCCTTGTTAGTTTTCTGGGTCGCCTCCATCAATGAAAACACTGGAGCATACGTTCTGAAGTTTGCCAACTACGACGGAGCAGCCACCTCGATCACCGTGAAGCTCCCAGACGCGTCCAAGAAGAAAGGCAAAGTGACCACTTTGACGGGGCCTCATCCGGATGCGTACAACTCAATCAACAACTCTACGAGCATCTTGAAGACAAAGGATATTCGTGCGACGAGAGAGTCAGAGTTTACGGTTGATCTGGCTAGCTGGTCGGTAGTTGTGGCCGTGTTCACGTAGCCAAAAATACCCTAGAATGGTAGATGAGTTGTGTATATATCAGAGGTGGTCGTTTGATTTCTAGGAACAAAGTCTCTGAAATTCAAAATTTGTGTGCCCACAATAAGACCGTGGTTGGAAAACGGGATAAATTGAGTTTTT